GTGTGTGTGTGTGTGTGTGTGTGTGAGAGAGAGAGAGACAGGGTCACATCACAGTGGAGTCAGCTGTCTTAACCGTGGCTTGTGTACTGCAAACACATACCAGCTTCATCACTGTGTCTGTCACGCGACTCTGTTCCCCTTTCGGGCTCTGTCTTTACATTTATTTTGAAAGATGAAGCTCGCGATTATGGTAAGGGGCGTTACATTTCCGACGAGTGCTTGCGGTGTTCGGCCAATCACAATGCACTGGGTCAGCTGGCCAATCAGAGCAGACTGCGCTTGTCGGAAGGAGGGACTTTGTAGAAAACGAAGCGTTTGACCGAGGACCTACAATAATGTACAGTATTTGAAAAATAATGTGTTTTTTGAACATTAAAGCATGTCAACATATTCTGTTACACCAAATACACAAAATAATGATCTTTAAAAAAGCATCATATGACCCCTTTAATAAAAAATATTAAAGGGATAATTTACCCAAAAATTTAATTGAAAAAAAATAAATAAATGCAGAACATTGCAAAAAGGCTGAAAAGTGTTTTTGCTTTAACATTAGAAACAAGTTATTGCAATTTGATTCAAGATTACAAACACATTTTTTTTTTACTTGAATTGTGTGAAATAAGACCAATAACAGGCATTAATAAAGTAAATCTGATTTCATGTTGACTTTAGAGTGAAAAGATAATAGGAGCCTGACAGCACCTGACAACACTGACAGTGTTCAAAATATTTTTTCTATCAAATGTATTCTCTGAGAATAACACAATCAAAATTCTATTACTGCTAATGTCAACTGCTGTTTCACCTCGATGGCAGTGGGAACACGTTTCCATGGATACAATGGCTGGATATTTCAACAAGCACCACTATTTATTATTGGCCATGAAGTTATTGTATTAAAGACTAATTTTCACAAATCAGAACACAATCTTGGAGACATACCATTTACACACATAAAACTTTCGACTTTCACTTACATAATAGAGCTGTCCCACAGTGCACAGAATGGATTCATTGTTCCCTGCAAGAAAACAAACACACACTGTGATTGGACACGCAAAACAATGATTAGACATATCACAGTACATGCCAGTAAAAAGACACTACGATAGCCAATATCGCAAAACACAAGTTACGTTATTTAAAAGATAAACAAGAAAGGGGAAAAAGCCTTGTGGAGAAAAGAGCTGTAGCCATATCTTGATGACACAACGAGGAGAGAAATAACTGGTGATGGCAAATTAATTATTGGACTAATTACTGCCATTTGTCTGTTGATTAATGAGCCTGAAACAAATGACAGAGGCATTGTAGAGCTCCCTTTGATTGGCTGTAGTGATTCAAAGAGGAACAGAACACATTTCCTTCCGATTTCAGCTCAAATCCACTCAGATTCTTCTAGTTTCTCTTCAAAAGGCCATATGTTTCATTGCAGTAATGAATTACACAATCAATTACACTATTACAAGGGATGATTTGTATCAATTTGATTAATGTTGCAGTATCATACGCTGCAGAACAGTGTATATAAATATATACATAAACATATTATTTTGGAAATCAACATTATTTATATGCTGTTGTAGTGTTTATAATTGCTGCTTTCTATAAATTGATTGGTTATGATGCAAATAATTGATTATTGTGACATGAATCTGTGTTAAAAGAGAACTTTTAGACAGAAAAAGCTTTAAATTATTTTTTACACTTAAAAAAAATATATATTTTGAAAATAAAATCCACATAAGACGCAGCAGGGGATTGTTATCTCTCATCGTCATTCTCCACCTGATCTATTTAAAGGATTTCTGTGATATAAAGGCTGTAGATTCCTTCCCTTGTGTAAAATAAATGTCATATTCACATGCCCCTTCAAACCAACAGACCAATAAAACAGTAAAAGAGTCCAAAACTAGGAAGTTTTAAAATATATGTGACCTCCATGTCAGCATTAATTAGCCTCTCTGGATTGTTTTGGTGAAGCGTGTTGAGATCTGACTGCTGCTTACATTAGCTAGATGAGCTAACTCAATCTCCAGCTGGGCTTCTGTAACCCTGGGTTCTGGTTGGACAGTCACAGCAATCACTTTTGAGTTCACAGCAGTGTTATTCCTGTGGGTTAGATCAAATCACACACAACAGTCAGTTCACGCTTGAACGAAGAATTGCTCATTTCATTAATTTCAATACTTCCATAATCATCAGCACTGATTTTTGTTTAAACTCCCCATTCTGCACATTTGAATGGAAATGGCTCATTTAGCACAGAACTTTGTCTTTCCAGGCTGGACCTGCTGTGAGGTCGTGATATTTGGTATTTCACTTCAAATTAGATACTTTCTGCTAGCAGAGACCAGAAATGATGATATGCTTGACCACTTGGATTTTAGAGTGTGAAATAAAAAATAAATAAATAATAAACAAATTAATATTATTCAAGATCCAACTGTAAAGAGGGACAAAGTTACAGTATATTAAACACAACAAATTGAAATGTGTTTAGTTTCTGATGAACTCAAAATGATCGCCTCTGGGTGAAACAATCACAGAGATAAAAAGCAGTCAATTTGTCATCACTACACTCAAAAAAGTTACTTCAAGCACTTTAATACTTTTTAATTTCACGACCAAAAACAATATTTGTTGGCTATGAATAAATGTTAAACATGTTCAAGTGATCTTATCTAATGCAACAAGGGTGCAAAATCATTTTGATATTAAGATTCAAGTACACTCAAAATATCTCTCTCCTTGCATACTTCCTCCTCTAACTAAACCAATATTCCTTTTATAACATTTGTCAACTTGAACTGTTTAAGGCATGATTTCATGGTCCATTTAAATAGAAACAAAGACGGAAAATGGATGGCCAACAAATAGCTTCTCAAGAGTCCACATTGAGAAATTAATTTCTAAAAGTAACGACAAAGATGCCACATCTGAAACAGATCTTTTAGCTTTTTTATTTTTTTTAATTCTGACATTATTTTACAGTCTGTCAATCTTCATTTTTGATTATGGTATTCAGAACACATGTATTGAGTGGACTAAGCCATGGAAAATAAATTTGTCTTAGTCTATAAGCAGATCGTCCTAAAGGCAAAGATGAATCCTTTCGAAATTAATGTATAGATTGGATCAAAGACATTATCTGTGCATGGTTAACCAGACCCTTGGTTTGATTTAATCAAGCAGAAGTGGTGTTGTATGGTGTCATGAATGTCCACAAAGCCTGAAAGGCATGAAATAACACAAGACTCTTAAAGGGGAAGTTCATCCAAAATTAAAATTCTGTTCTTATGTACTCCATCATGGAACATCAGGGACGTTTCTAGCCTTTCATCAGTACTGGGGCATATGCTCACCATCAAAAAAGGTGAGCCCATATTTTGATAATCTCCTTTTAATAATGTTTTGGGTATAAATACAGTCTTTTACAAGCTGTTCACAAGCTGTGTGTGCAAAAAAAGAGCTGCTTTGTCGTTGACAAAGGATAGAAGACATCTGCAAGTTCCCTTTCAGTCAGTCACGTTCGACGTTACGTCAGTCGTGACTGACGAATTGGGATCTCACCCGAGAGCCCAATCACCTTCGAGTGTTAACTAAACAAGCCAATGACAGTTGGCGTGCGTGTTTCGCCACGCGCAC